GAATGGTTTGCAACTACAAGAGTGGACGAGGCCCCAAAGTATTTTCTGCATCCCCTGACTCGTTGCCATGTAGGCTAACCTGTACAAGGTCGCAATGTCGGCGGGACCAACATTGATAGAAATTTCTCCGCTCTTCTGACCGCTCGATTCGATCCGGAATTCGCCGCGCTGCCTCCTTATCAAACTGGCCCTTCTAGCCGCCTGATGAGGGAGTTCGAGATTCACAAAAGACTCGTCACTGACGGCGACGAAAACGCCCAACAAATTCGAATTGCATTGCCCATGGATCCCGTTGATCCTAACCCGCTATACTTCGACGAGGACTACAGCGAAATCATCATCTCAATGGATGATTGGAGAACCGTTTTCAACCCTGTCCTGGAGGAAATAATAGCATTTATCCAGGACAGGTACAACGCTGCGAACGGTGTCCAGGTGAGCAAGCACTCGGCGCTGGCTAAAGACGGATTGTTTAACTGAATATATTCCAGTACATCGTGCTCGTTGGGGGACTGGTGAATCTTCCTTGGATCCGGGAAGCTTTCCGGAGTATCTTCGACGCAGAACACATTTCTGTGTCTCTGATTTTCAGTCCAGAACCGTGAGTTTGCCTGGGGACCTTGATCCCGTGATATGGATGGTCAAACTGACGCCTACAAGAGAGTTGGCCGTGGCGCGAGGAGCCATCTGGCATGCCGTTCATAACACCCCTTTTATGGTCTCTTGTGATCTTCACTACGGAGTCGGTAACTTGGAGGGCGATAGAATCAACTGGTTGCTACACAAAGTACGCGTATCCTTTTCTACGAATATCTCCGTTGGCTTCCATTACATTTCACTGACAGTTCATCGGCTTCAGGGAGAGCGGTACGCTGCTGGTCATACCGCCCAAGTGCAATTTCGCTACATTTACAAGACGTTAGGTCTCAAGTGTGTCCCAATTGCCGTATATGGATGCAACAGACCAAGTAGCCCAATCTCCGCTGGCGCTCCCGGTAAGTCGATCTGGCTCAATAAAAGACAGACCCCTTGTTGACTGGTAACCCAGGTGTGTCGCAGCTTGGTATGTTCCTGCTCGATCTCTCCACGCTGAATTTCGCGAATATCTGGCACAGGGAAGACGGTCATGGGAGGACCGAGTATGACATCAAGTTCAAGTTGGAGATCGAATGCAATGTTGGCAAAGGTGTGCTTTGTATCAGGGCGCTGAAACCAGATGGTTGTCTGATTGGAGAAGAGATGGAGCTGGCGGCTGAGTTTACATGTTGCTGACCTGTCTTTCTGATACTTTTGTTTCCCATCTCTTACTCTACTTTCCTACATCTCAATGGCTTATGTGCCGGTTAATCTCTGTCTTTCGGTCTCATTTTCATGTTCTATCCTCAAAAGCAGACTGTTACTTTCCCTTTCACTTTGTTTCGGTTGTTATTGTTATCATCTTAACGAGACGTTATTAGTTCCAAGAACAGAATAGTCAGTGCAATTTAGAAATTCATTACGTCTTCATTAATGGTGATGAAGGACTTGGAACGAGGCGATGCTGTACGTATGACTGTATGCTACGTATTCAGCGGTTGTTGGTGTAGCATAGATTGAAAGATTCGACGGCACGGAAATAGCCCCTGTACGAAAAAGGCAACAAAGAGGAAATTTTGGGCTCTCTGTATCAAGGCAGGTAAGTGTCGGTATCTCACATCGCCGACAGACATTACCAAAAATACAAAACAGACAGGATCGTGACGGTAAGGCAGTCGGGCGAGGGAGGGAGTCTTACAAGGGGTATTGCTACACAAGGCAGACGTGCCGAGCAAAAAGACAAACTTGCTAGATGGATGCCCTACTGGTCGTTGACCTATCTAGACCATATTGCCCAATAGATCAGCCAACGGACCATCTTTTCTCAAGCTCCTGATGAGCAGAAGTCTGCAGGTCATCTTACCCCGCTAGATGGGGGGGGTGTAAGACTCAACTCTGATAAAATACCAGCTCGTTGGTTTCTTGTGCAACGTCGTATAACTTGAGACTCGGGAAGATAGTCAACCCGCACAGCCACATTTTTCACTGAGAGTTGGTGATGTTTCAGCTCTCGTGTCGGTAGTATGTAATGTAACCCGCGCAAACCTTACGGAAAGATAACTCCGTTGCCTCCGGAGACTGGTGGGCAGGGGTATGGAGGACAGCGGGTGGGCACATGCGAGTTGTCAGGGCTATTCCTTTCCCCTGACGGTTGCATTTGGCACTATATTGTTCCCTATACTACGAAGTATTATATGACCGGGACTGGGGAAGACTGATCCGCGCCGGGGATATTTCGACCTATCGATCAGCTGCAAACCCCTGGGATGAACTTCTTCTCGCTTAAAGTGTGGAGGGCCCAGCTACTTTGCAGGAGGCGAACCACATGAACTCGGAAACCGAAGGTATTAGTTACCGGGACGGGATCGGTATTCCAAACTAGAATGGTATGCACGGGTCGTTTGCTGCTGCTTTGCAGAGTTTCGGCAAGTAGACCGTTTAAGATTTGCGCTATTGAATGCCAGTGGCCAACGACGGAAGCCGGTGGCCTGGGAACTGATTAAGGTTCCTGTATGTCCGATCCCGATAGTCCGAAATCGTGCGCTGAGATCCACGAAGTCCAGAACTTGGCTCTTGGTCTAATTAGCGGGCCAGCAAATCGGGGATGTGTTGGAACTTCCGCGAAAACGTAGTATTTTCTTCTGGTACCTTTAAGTTGCAGATCTACCGTATTTGGCGGTAAAGATGTTGTGCAAGATGATCGTATCGATCTGGTGCTATATTCGCCGGCATTGGGCAACCACGGGCTGTTGACGGGGGCGGGGGATATTGATGCCTAAGTGGCGTATAATGAAGGTTATAGGGATTGCAGTGTCATAGAAAGAAAGGAGACAGGTGGGTTTCCATATCCGAGCATCATGGTTAAGTCTCTACGCAGGCTTCCGCCGGCTCTGGCCAACAAGCTAAGGTCCCCCACTCTTGGTACTCTGTGAGACGCTGCTCTGGGTTTATACTTCCAGCTCTAATCAGCCTTACCTTCGTGTTGTGAACCTGCTAGTGTATTCAAAAAAATTTCTTTTCAGGCAGCAGTCAGGTTTTTGGGTAAGGTAAAGTGGTGAACCTGCGTAGCAGTCAGATTTTCCATATACGCCTACATGTCAATAGAAAGACCTATTGAATCGTACTGTTGAAGCTATTAGGCTATACCAGCTAAACCCTACCCGAGCATTAGAATTTCTTATTGAACACTTTAGTCCGTAAATCTACATGGCACCCACCGACGTTACTGTGACAAGGTACTCCCGCACCAAACCACCGGTCGGAGATATCGTGTGGCTTGGCACCAAAATAGCGGATTATCGACCCATCTCTAAGCATATCCCTTGCTTAATATGTCAGCTGCAATTATATGCGTTCACCTTTGGATCTTGACTGCCTGTGGCAGGGAGCCTTCAATCTGTACCTCATGCGATGTCAAGCCCCCACCTATCAAAGTGGGGGTACCCATTCCTGGACAGAAAGGCTGCATATAAGACTTTATAGTTAGCCAGTAGAGCTAGGTACTTGTAGCTTGTTCACTGAAGTCAGTCGAAGAACCTTTGAATACACCCAGCTCTCGAACCGTTGTCTGATACGCCCGAGGCCAACTCATTAGTAGGTGCACCTCCACGATTGAAACTATGCCTATATGTACTAAAGACTGACGCGACTGTAGTGACTTCCACCGACACCGATGAAATTTCCAGCCTCCTCTACGCTTACGGCGAAGCTCTGAAAAGTCGGAATGTGGACAAAACAGTGGCTCTTTACACGAAAGACGGAGTTATCATGCCGCCGCATTTCTCGGCCAGTGCAGGCACTGAAGCTCTACGCGGATCATATACACGGATCTTCTCGACTATCCAGCTCGTCATTACCTTCCAGATCGAGGAGATCGTTGTCATGTCTCCGGAGTGGGCTTTCGCCAGGACGACGGCTGAGGGAACGAAGACGATACTTGCCACCCAGGAATCTGAGTCACATGCAAATCAGGAATTGTTCATCTTGCGGCGGGAGAATGGGAAGTGGCTGATTACTAGATACGCCTTTTCTAGCATGAAGCCGCTGGTGCAAAATGGGATTCGGCGGAGTTAGTTTATTGGGCTTGTTAGCGGCGTGTTCCGATATAATATCAGTGACTCTATATCAATCTAGAAGAGGTGCTTTCGTCATGCGCGATAGGCTTAGGAGGAAACACTGCGAGGGCCAACCAGTCTTTGTGCAAATGATATCAGCCATTGTCTATTTTCTTGTGGTCTGTATTCACCACCCAGAACAGCACTGTTGGTTTGGCCTAGCTATTTTTAGCCGGCCTGGTATGTTTGGAGTATGACTGTCTTTTTCCTCTCCTTGCTCGATTTCATCCTCGTGCATGTATGAATAGTACCACTGTCTAATGGTCTATTTCATATCGAATAGTGGTAGCCCTGCTCAGATACCTATTTATCACCTGCCGTACGTTAAAGGCCAGTCGGTCAGTGCTCATCTGGAATAGTAGCGCACTGAGAGCTGCCGGTAATATTCAGACTTTATTGCATGCCTGCAGGGGAGTGTCATGAGAGATAATATTAGTATCCACCGCTGCAGTAGTTGCGCCTTTTACCATATATACATACGCTTGACGTTTGACTCTGACCAGAAAATGGTGGCCGTCATGCTAGGCAGCCTATACCTGTAATGATTGTCGTTATTCTCGGTCGGATATATATATCGTAGCAAAGAGAGGTCCGCAACAGAACCTCGGTACAACATGAACACTAGTTACAATTGTATCACTCCCTTAGAAGCCGATTATTCTCCACTCTGTTTCTCATATAGCACACAAATATCTCAGCTTTGTGGCTACAGATAGTGAGGGCAGTTGAACGGCGCGACTAAAACTACCAAGTTGCTGAGTTACAAAAGCTGGAATAGATAGGCAAAACTTTGCCCCTCCGTCATCGCAACCCCCGATGGTCTAGTTGGTTCATGGCGTTCGGCTGTAATAGCAATTTAATTGTAACCGAAAAGTCACCAGTTCGATTCTGGTTCGGGGGATTCGAAATCCTTTTTTTCTCCACCGCTTTTTGTCACACATACTATAACAGACCTTTTGTAGACGAAAATTAAGTGCCTTTCCTAAATTCCGGGCTCGTCTACTGGGCCACGGTGTTATAATTCACGTATACTCTTATCCGTGAAATAAATGCTGTCTCCGACCGCCATTTCCACTGTTGGGACGCCCTTAATACCGGCGTGACCCCGGAACTGGAGTTCGCTTGTGCGAATAGCAATACCAGAACTACATGCTCGATCCGCATGACTTGCCTGTACGTCACAATACCCTGATAAATAGAAGTAGAAACGTAGGCCAGTCTGTTGTATATGTGCTGACGCCTTCACGAGAATGGATACGTGACCATGACCATAGGTTTAAAGGCTATCTACCAGACAGGATGCCACACAGTATACTTCCAGCAGTGTGTTGCAATGCTTGATTCTGAGAGAACAATCAGTGCACTTCTTTCGCAAGAGAATACATACCCAAAATCTCAGAACCGAATTCAACAACCCCCCGATGGTCTAGTTGGTTCATGGCGTTCGGCTGTAATAGCAATTTGATTGTAACCGAAAAGTCACCAGTTCGATTCTGGTTCGGGGGATGTATCATTTTTCTTTTTTCCTCGGCACACCGAAGACGGGCGGTCTTTGCAAGTACTACGCTATATCCGCCTTCTATTTAGCAAATGATAGTGTCTCCCAGCACTGTCCCACTACCCGAGGTATCTCTGAGATCAACGTTTGCCACACCTGTCTCTTCCTCCACCCCAAAACAATGGCAGTCACCAATACTCCCACCGAAGTAGCACAGCATGCAAAGTTGTACAGACTCCGCTTAGCTCTCGGATGCACCAGATCTTCCATATGCTTTCGAAAAGCTGCCGGATTATTTGTGTTCGGGAAGGGCTCCTGCGGGATATCTTTACCCAGAAACTGTAGTCCAACAACGTCAACTGCCACCGTCTTTCAATCGAAGCATCAATCCATCCCCCAAAACATTACTTACCTCGCACAAAGGACCCCATCCATCTTCCACATCCCATTCTAAGAGCCTCTCCTCCGACACCAACCCTCGAATCATCAATCCATGCTCCCGATATACTCTCTTCCCATGCTTCATAAGTCCCTCCTTGACCGTCCGCCCGCCAAACACGCCAGGATATCCAAATGTGCAGTACAATCTCCACAACCAGTACATATCCGCCGAGAAGAGGCGCAGAAACCAGATTATCCACTGGTCCTCCGCCTCTGCGATCAACGTCTTCATAGCGCTGCGATGCCAGGCATCCACATCCTGCCGCGTATTCAGAATCACCTTGGCCTCCGGATACGCCTGGATCAGTTCCACGCTGAACATGGCGGCTGCGGTGTCCACCACCGCATCACAGTGTCCCAGCAGGGCATCGAACTCTTCGCGACTGATGGGCGCGTCGCCTGCCCCTTGCGCGCCGGAGTATTTCCGCTCGGCTAGTTGCGCCCAGCCCTGGGTATATGGCGGGTCGTCGAAGACGATGTCCCAGCCGTGGTAGGGTTGGAAGCCGAGTTGGGTGAGTGCTCGGCTGAGACTTTCGGTGCCGGATCGTGGTAGGCCCACGCAGATCACTTGGAGTGGTTTGGTGCGAGTGCGTGGTGGGGGCTGGGGGAAGCCATAAATAGCGCCTCGCAAGGCTTCCATGGTCGGTAAGGTGAGAGTATTATAAGATATGATTGACACCGAAGGGGTAGAATGTAAGAGGCTGTACAGCGTGGAAATACAGTTGCTTTATACTTGTTTCCCTTCTCCATTTGTATGCTTTCGCTAAATCAATACTAAATGCGGGAATGATTAGGCGTCCAGTTGACGTGGTCTCCTTTTTTACCTGGCTCCCACGGCATTGAGGGCGTACAACACAGCGTGCATCTGATCTGATTTGTGAGTATCTACAGAGTTTGGGATGAAGGAACGCCGCGGCGTTTGCTTCCTTTATCGGGTTGGGGCAGTTAAAGCTTGAAATACGGCTGTATGAAATTGAACCAGAACCAATGAGGTTTTGGCATGACAGAAAGTGCAGTTGCAGTCCCCACCCTTGAAGAATTTCTGATTGGTTTGTTTGACTATCGGGATGTTTTGCCGATCCTCAGCATGACGCATGGTTCGGTATCTCCGTGCAGGTGTCAACTGTTGGCTACTATTTCCACAACTGAGCACTTTGTGGATCCCGAAGAATGCGGCTACGCGACAAGGGTGATGAATCTGACTAACGATATCGGACAGACAATCCAGTCTTACTCAGATTGTGGAAGGATTCCACTAGCGTCTACGAGATAGAATTCCACAGCGCTGAGCTGCCTAACGAGAACTACCTTGTAGTTATCCAGTTAAGTAGCGTAGGTAGCTTTGCCGACTAATCCGATCAGCTGCAAAGTACAGTGTGATGGTATCTAGTCAAAGACTATGGCAGCCTTGACGACGGACTTCTGCCTCATCGCGTCAAGGCACATCTCCCACTCATCCAATCTAAATGTTTTGTTAACAATCCCATCTACCTTGATTCTCTTGCGATCTGTGTAAATACCCATTAGCCACAGAATCTCTGTGATTCCGCTATATCACACTTACCAAGGTAATCAATAGCAGCTGGAAATTTATACATCTGACTGAACGAACCTAGAACATGGATCTCCTCCTTGAAGATCTTGTTAGGTGACAGCGAGATGCGACTCTCATCCTTGTAAACCCCATACACCACCAGCTTCCCACCTTTGGTGACAAAATGTATGGCACTCTCCAAAACCCTTTCACTACCCGTCGCCTCCACAACAACATCAAAGCCATACGGATATTCCATCCGCAACTGCTCCAACCTAGCATCCGCGGCGTTATCTTCCCGCGGCAGCTCGACAAACTCATCCGCAGCATCCAGCGACCTGGCCAGCTCCATCTTCAACCCGCCCGGTGCCGCAATAACCGTACGACAACCACCGTTCTGGCGAAGAAGCTGCGCTAGCATCAGTCCTGTCGGACCGGCCCCGAACAGAAGAACACTGGATCCCATCTGCGGGGCAATCTTATCCAGTCCATGCGCCGCACAGGCTGCAGGCTCCAGCAAGGTGGCATCCACATCTGACAGGTTCTGGATCTTGAACACGCGATGGGCCGGGTAGGCGGCGTATTCGGCGAAGCCACCATCGACCATCACGCCGTGAGCGATGAAGTTCTCGCAGAAGAGCTCTTTGCCTCGACGGCAGTAGTGACAGTGTCCGCAGAGTTCCGAGTTATCGGCCACCATGCGATCCCCTACTATGAAGTCGTTGACTTCGCTGCCGAATGCGGCGACGATGCCTACGGTTTCATGGCCGGGTACTAGTGGGAACTTGAGTTGGATTAGTTCAGGTGGTGCTTGATCAGTGATAGGTAAGTCCCTACTTGAGCTCCAAATTCACCTTCGTGGATGTGCAGATCGGTACCGCAGACACCGCAGGCTTTGACTTTGATCTGGTATAGTGTTAGATATTGTGTGTGAGCTAAAGATGTCTTACGACCTACGAGGATGTCGTGTGCACGTATGGGAGGAAGCTCTTTCTCAACTATGCTGAAGTTCCGAGCAGAGCTGTATTCTATGTCTCCGACTGTCGTGTCAATGTGCTTTCTGGCAAGCTAAGAGAATGCGACACGCACCTAGTGCCCGCATGGAGCGGGGTAGCTTGAAGGAGTTCATCAAACTCATATTGAAATTATAGAGTAAATGTAGACTGTAGGTAAAAGTCTATCTTCGGAAATAGTTGAGAGCCCATATGTTTGCAATCGAAGTCGTCTGTAGTATCTAGTTCAGAGGGGGCGAGCATATAGAGGCGAGAAGTGAACCGCCGAGTCTCATAAGCAAGATACAGCGGGATGACATCTTGACGATAGCCCTCAAGCTCCCAGTACTCGATGTATCATAGGTTTTATCATTTAGTTGCCTTCAGCGGAAGATGGATGGGCATGAGCATTCAATCCTTGGCTGGTCCCCGAGACGGGGGCTCGTCGATCAGCCTTGCCCCACAGCATAGCAACAATGGAATGGTTTACTGGTGGAATTATATTCGCAGAAATTGTTATGGATTAGTAGTCGAATCAGACAGGGATTGAAGAGATATATCGCTTGTGGCCTACTGGCCAGCGCGTTGAGAACCAACTAACAAGAGTATGAAGCCAATGCACCCAATACAGTATCCTGATTAACAAGCACGAAAACCCATAAAGACAAGTAGTACAAGAGGCCTACCAAGCAATCGCATACGACATCGGATAATCGATGTCAAGGGACAAACCACGTATGTCCCTCAAATTCCGTTGCTCCGCCCTTTGAACTTGAAGCTTGTAATTAAGCTGCCACAGCGGTCGCATTCTCCAGATGCTGCGCTGATTCAATCCCATCACCTTCCTTAGCCCGAATAATATGCTCATCTCGAGCCTGGTATCTCTCTGGACGTTTGCGCGAAATTGCCTCCCGATCGAAGCAGACGAAAAGTGGAGGATTCCCACGATAATAGTCATCCATATCTTCCAGCGTGCGACCTGCTGTCTCTGGATAGAACATGTAGATAACAGGGACCATTGCTGCGTTCAAAGCGATCCAAATCGTATAGAATTTCCAGCCAAGGTTCTGTATCCCAATCGGTGTGATTTCGACGACCATGAAATTGAAGATCCAATTCGTAGCTGCTCCGAGTGCGGCGCCCTTGGTTCGCATCGTGAGGGAGTTGATCTCTGTAGGATATACTATAGTTTCTCATTAGAGGATAGCGTGCACATAGACTGAATAGGGGTTTAGACATACACCATGGCACTCCTTGCATTCCAATCCCGAAGAAAACATAGTACAAGATGAAGAAAGCAACGGATGCAGACGCCACTTCTTGTTGATGTGGATAGCCGGGCATCTCATTATACCTAATAAGAGCCGTGATGAAGGTATAGCAGAGGCACTGTCCCGTGGCACCGAACATCAGAAGGGCTCGACGACCCCGTCGCT